TAGTGTATATATATATATATAACATACTATATATATACACACACACACACACACACACACACACATATATATATATATATATATATATATATAGGGCAAATAGTAATTCATCAATAAAAAATGATAAAAAATATTTTAAAGTTTAAAAAAGAAACGGAATTTCTTTAAATTAACTAAAATTTGTTAACCAGTCACACAAAGTTTATCTTTTCACAATTAAAAAATATCATCTTATATAAAATAAAAGAACATCAATTGCGTATAGTCACTCGACTTCCGGCTTAATAGATACGATAATATACATATATGAATTTCATATTCATATCAAACAATTTTATGCTCTTTTCGCTTTAAAAAGCAACTTTTTTTATTTGACTATTCGTAATCAGTGGTAATGATTCTTACAGTTATTATTGTAATAATGTACTTTTGGCAAGTCGTATGTTATCTTAACAACGTGCCGAGCTGCACGTAATGTTTATGATATTGAACGTTTTGTCTCGATGTTGCACTCTATCTATATCGTATCAGTAGATGCCAGTTATAATAAATTCAATTATCTTTAAAGATAAACGAGGACACAGGAAAAGAATAAAAAGAAAAACAGATTTAAACAAGATATGAAACACCTTTAAAGATTTATACGTCCGGAAGATCGGACAATTGTAAGCAATGAATAATGCAGTTGTGATTGATTTAATGAAAAGAATAGTATGTTTCGCGTTTAATTTGCTCGAACAATTTCTGTCGTCGTATGGCGCGACGGAAATCGAGAAAGATAATAGTTAACTGATTATACTGAATGTTTCTTCGCTGGTCTAGCGTTAAAACAAAACGACGTGCTCGGTATCGAGCTCAGTATCAATTGTCCGTCTCTCAAGCTGATTCGATAGTGCACAATAGTTATTGAATATTATCGATATCAATATTGAACGTGGTAAAATCGTATGATATGCTTTGAGGAAAAAAAAATATTTCTATTCGGACCATATTATGTACGTGGTAGGAACTTGTTTCTCTTTATTAAATAGTTTTTTCGTTTATAACATTTACTTTTTAGTTAGCACAGTGAAAGGCATTTGCCATTCTGGATCGTTGTTAGAGAACTTGTAACACGAGTGTCTTATTTACTTGAATTAGAACGCATATTTTTATATAATTTGAGACAGATCTTTCAATTGATGTAGTGTGTAAAAGTGTAATTTGTAAAAAGTTTCATTTTGTAACTTACTATTTCTGATTAATTATTAAATGATGTATCGTTTGTTAATTGTATTTCTATATTCATTGACAATTTTGAAAAAGTTACAAATGAAAAAAATAAGAAATTTTAATTGTTATAAAATATATTAACGATTTCATGGTTATGATTGTTTGACAAATTGAAAATTATAGTTAAAATTTTAATAGTATGCTTTTTAATTTACTTAATTTCAATTATTTATCAGGCTCAATACTTTTAATAAGAATTTAATAATAATACTTTCTTAATAAAAATTCCACGATATTCTTTTTTTTATTTTAATTATATTAGTATTGCTTTTTTATATTTATATTTATATTTATGTAAAAAAGCTATAAATTCAAAAAATTTATGAATACATTTCAGAAATATGAATAAATGAAAATATATTTTTTCAGTTTTTATTTAATAGAATCATATATTTCGTAAATTTCTTAAGTCATAAAGATATCCTCCTATATCGATATTTATAAAATACAAAAAGAAAAAGAAATTATCCAGCATATGTTTCGTGGATTACGTGATAATATACACGCTGCTGAATGTAGTACCAAGGTTAGGGACCTATTGGGTCAAGGTTAAAATGTGATTCCTATTCATGTATCCTACCGCTGGAACCTTTGCATCTATCTGAACCCTTCTTGTGCATGATCGGAGACTTTCGACTGCATTATTGTTTAATAGATTTAATAATATTTTGACAAAAATAGTATTTGGTTTGATTAAATATTATAATTATATTTTAATCATTAAAGCTTTCATTATATACAGATCAAAACTTTGATGGTCATATTTCTCTCATATTTTGTCTCATATTCCTATCTTCTTCTTTATAATTTATATAATTACTTTATTGGGCATGCTTGTTATGTTGAACATCTTATATTGGGCATGTTTTAAATTGAATAAATGTAGTAAATTTTTTATTATAATTGTATTACGAAAATATAACGAATACAACAGTATTTAAAAAAAAAGTATATTATAATTTTATTGCATTTATTAACATATAATTGCAATATATTGCAATATAATATATTGCAATTTATTAACAAGTCTATTTACATTTGATTTATCTTATCTTTTAAAGAATGTTACAAAATGTGAACTATAATTAATATGTATATATAAAAGAAGGATTATTAAAGTCTGAAATAGTTTATAAAATTAAGTTTTTTATATTTAAATAATACAAATATTATGATTCCAATTCTTTATTACATAATTCGAAAAGAAGAATAAAATAAAATATTATAGAAAGATGAAATATGTAAGGTATTTAATATTTAATAATATTTTAATGGAAAATTGATATAGAATGATTCGACAAAATTCAAGAAAAAAATCAAAGACTATGTCTCATAATAATTTTCTAAAATTCTTGTTGAAATAATTTTTATATGATAACATACAATAGAACAAATATTGAGTAACAGAATTCTTAGAATTCTTTTGGTTTTTCTCACCTTCTTGAGATTTAATATATTTCTGAAAATTTCATACAAGAAAGCATTTCCAATTGCTTTCCTACTTAGAAACTGAAAATGAAATTTTGCAAAGAAAGATTTAATCTTAAGTTAGTATCTTTAATGATATTATATATTGGTTTTCATAAATTGTTTGTGTAGGTAACGTACATTTTCTTTTGCATAACAAAATTATAATCAAATTATATAAGTATAAAATTGATAAAATTTTATATATTTATTTTTTTATTTTCGTTGACAATTATTCTATTATTAATAAGTAAAACATATTTTAAATTATTTCTAATTTTTATTATAATAATTAATAAAACTCTGCATACGTGAAAATATAAAATTTTTAATTGATAGATAGAATCTACGCAGAAAGAATAGATAATATCGCATGTAACTTATGAATCATACATTTTATGTGTAAAAACGAATGAATATTTCGTTTTGATTTAATGTCACGTTGATTAGTGTCTTAAGTTATTACACTAAGTAACTATTCAGACCAATGACTTCACGGTACGTTTAATAATTGGAAATAAAAAAGATTATAAATGCTATGATAAACTGCATCATATAATTTTATTTATTCTTATAATATAAAACTCTTTGAATTGTTAATTAAGAAAATTTCAAACTATTAAAATAAAAATATTAAATGCAATTTATTTAAAAAACAAACTAAAAAATGATTTAAACAAAATATTTTATAATTTAAATTTTTTTTACATTAAAAATAAATTACTCGTTTTTTTATATACATTACTAATAAAAAATGAATAGTAAAATAACATAAGTATCGAAAATAATATGTCGTAAATTTACATTTGCTATTGAAAACAAAGGCATTAACATAATAAGTCCACTGCTACCTTTTATTACGTAATGTATCTCATGAAATCATTTTTTAGTTTTAATCAATATGACTTAATACATGTAGTATTCAGAGTAGGTTTCATTGAAGTGTATATATGCCATAAATTTTATCTTTAACATTATATTCTGAAAGATAAAAAGTAAATGCAATTAACATTTAAATAATTTTAAGTCATCAAATATAGTTGATAATCTTTTTATATTAATTTTTATAATTTTATTTTAATAATAATAAAAGAAATTAATTTTAAGATAATTAATATTAAGAAATATTACATGTATAAACATGTAATAATTTAAAATCCTGAAATATAAAATTTAAATATATTATTAAAAATAAAGGAATAAAGGAATTCAACCGAAACCTGCATTCTTGTAAAGAATGATTGTAAAAGCTGATTAGAATTATAGTAGATATTATAATGCCACTTCGATTGTGATATTTTCAGACTGTTATTATCTATATCTAGTTAATCAATTCTGATTAAAATTCTTAAAGTATCATTATATTTTGATTATGATATTCTTAGTATGATAATCTTATCATCGGAAAAATACATTGTAGGAGTTATTCTATATATCTTATATATAGAATATACAACATAGAAATATAAACAAAATTGTAGAATTTTCAAATTAATCGATTATTAATTCATTAATTTAGAAACTTGAAAAACTTGATTAACCAAATATTTAATAATTAATACAGTTGATTTTTTAATCAATTAATAAGATTACGAAGAAAATATATTATTATAGGTACTTAACCATATTGTACTCATGTCCGTTTATAATACACCGGAAACAAATACTTTGTACATATTGAACATTTATAAATATGGTACCGACTTATTTAACTTACGATAATACAAGATTATTACCTACAGTGTCGTACATTTGTTTTATTGCGTCTCCAAGACTATTTATTTTTCTCATTTTTGTTATTAATTTAAGAAAAAGAAGTGTCTACCGTTGATAACTATAGTTGATAGTTATAAAAATTAATTTATATTTAAGAACAAATACATTTAAAATACTTGTCGTACATATTATATTATATTGGCAATCATATTATATTATCTTTTTTATTTAAAAAAAAAGACAGAATGAATGAATTATATTAAAAATTCTCTGATATGATATATACAATGAAGTCAACATTGATGATTGTTCAAAAATCACGAATCCATATAAATAAGTTAATATAAGTAAGTTTGTAAGAATATTTGGTTTCCTTGATTAAAAATATGATGCATTATTTTTCAGGCGATGGTGGCTTGTTATCCTGGTCACGGTTCGCATTACGTAAAACACGTGGATAATCCTAATCGAGATGGACGATGCATCACAGCTATATATTATCTCAATCAAAATTGGGATATCAAGGTATATCAAGGATTAGTTTAATCATCCTATTTCGATATTCCATTCCAATTTTTTTCATTAAATTTTTATTCTATACTTTTATCTAAATTGAAAATTAATTTGAAAATGATTTTTAATTTTATATTAAAATATATTATATTAAAATTTTATTTAATTATTAAATTCTTTTATTAAAAGATTTTAATATAATTTTAATATATGAAAATTTTTTTGAACTAAGTATTTATTTTAAATTTTTGATCGTTATTAATAATTTCACTACGCATATACATATTACACGTGTAATACTTTGAAACTCGATTTCGTGACATGATCGCACTACAGGGTCATTCTGCTTTGATGATATATTAAATTATATTTGCTGTATATATTATATTTATTTGTTAAATAATTATTAATGAACATTAATAATTAATGAAAAAATGATTATTTGACATTAAAATAGTTATTAACAAAATTTCGTTATCTATTGATAAATTTATTTAAAGATAAATTTTTCATTTTAATTTATTATTAAATTATTGTTGATGTGTTATTTTTTATTCTAATATATTTAAATTTTAGATACATTATTATTACACTTATTAATTATGAAATATACAAAAGATTAAATATTCTAAGTTTCAACATAAAGAAATAAAAATTATAACTGATAAAAATACTCAATTTCTACGTTAACTATGGTCATCATAAATTTTTCTCACAGTTATCTTGTTATCTCTCATTCATCTTGCACATGCGACCATGAATGTTTGAATTTTAAAAGTAAAGATATTGTATCATAAAGAACACGAAGGGCAGAGCCTACGTGAGTTGTCCCATGTAACGATGCTTCTGTCTCGCATATACTCAAAAATCTCATTAAATAATATTTACATTAATTTACATAAAAAATAGGCTTGTTTAAACATGTATTGTTTTATATTTATAATATAAAAGCACCGAAATATAAAATACACTATGTCTATTATTTTTAATCGTGCATTAATATCCTTGAATAAGGATGACGAGACAGAGAGAGAAAGAGACTTGATGAACTTGTATAACATTTACGTTCATTGGCCTCTTTTTAAACAAGTTTTAAACTGTTTTATCTTTTAGAACTGTTTTATCTTTAAATACATTCGAATATTATTGAAGAATCTTAATATTGCTACTGACTCTTTCAACTATCATTTTAAATCTGATCATTATTTCAATAAATCATTTAAATAAAGTTTTTAACATCTTAAAAAAAAATCTTTAAACTATAATTGGAAATAAAAAAGTTATATATATTAATTCTCTAAACATATTTTTTAGTTATGAAAAATCAATGTAGACAAAAGATTAAGAATTTTAAGGACTTAAAGAATCAAAAATTTATATATTCAATATTTATATTATTCAAATAAAGTTTTTTATAATAAAATTTTTATCCATTACTTTTTACTATTTGATTAAGAGAATAATTTAATGCTATCATTTTAAACTATGAGTTTTTATTTCTAGTAATAATTTATATTTAATTTCTATATTTTTAGAAAAACGGTGGCCTCTTGAGGATATTTCCAGAAGGTTGGCGTGATCAAGTGGCAGATATTGAACCTCTTTTCGACAGAATACTGTTCTTCTGGTCAGACAGGAGAAATCCGCACGAAGTTCAGCCAGCATATAAAACAAGATATGCAATTACTCTATGGTATTTCGATGCAGAAGAAAGAAATCAAGCTTGCCGAAGATATCAAAAAGAAAGTAAGTAACATTCAAAAAAATTTATGTTTTAGTTAAGCAAATTGTTCAAATTAAAATATTTTTTAATATTATTAAAAAATGTAACATATATTTACTCAAAAACAAAGAAACTACTTTGAATAAAAAAATTATCAAATTAAATAATATACAGAGTAAAAGATATTAATCGTGATTTTGAATTTTTTCAATTCATAATTTTATATGTATGTAAATCTAAATTTAAAAATCGTATTATTAAAATTTTAATTCTGCATATTGTTTTTCAATATAAAATTCAATATTCAATTAATATTCATTTCAATATTCAAATAATAAAAATGATTAAGTATAGTATGATGAGATTTAAAATATTGCAAAAATAAAAATTTTGAACAATAATTGACTTAAACATTTATTTTTCAGAAGAATTACATGTGAAGAATGAAAGTTCGTGAGACATGGAGTCTGAAGGACCATTACACCGTCCGTCGACTGAAATTATAACTCTATTAGTTAAAGTTATACACCTGTACATAGTTACACGAAGAAAGCACTGGTATATAAACTATTATGTATTATTCTGTATTATGATATAGTTGAGATTGTAGGAAATACGGACATCGGAGTATATAAAAATTTAAGGATGTGCAATAAATATATAAGCGCGTTCTTTTTTTATATGATGGCATTGTAATATATTTCGATGAGTAAATGCGCGTAGCCTTTACAGTTCATTATTATACATATTAATCATTAATCTCTGTTTTTTCTAACACTCTAATGCTCATACTGTAATCGAACGTTTGTAAAAGTTTAGCATTAGCTTGCCACGATTGTAAGTTTGTTCGTTATATCAATACGATACTTAGCTTCAATATTTGAAGCATTAAAATTTTTTGCAGCATTCGTAATTCGTATACGATTGCTAAAGTTATATAGTGTACAGAAAGGACGAGAGAGCATAAAATGTATGTGTAGGATGAGAGTGAAAGTTTGTATGCTGAAGAAAGAGATCGATTTAAATAATGAAATTAATGTTTCTATCTTAAAATTTGCTAAACAAAAATTTTGTCTTATTACATTAACTACATATGTTTCCTTTCTGTATAGCTGCTATTGTTAATAACAATTCAGCTTGTTATTAATATGAAATTGTAATATTTGTGAATCGTACTATTACGTTTTATTATTGCATCTCATATATTACGCGTTGTTCTATAAAGTTATAATCCTTATATTGATGTTTGATTAAACGGCCAGTAATTGACTTATGCTTCCAGCGCAGTGAATTGAGATATGCCGGGGCCCAGTCTGTACCTGTAATATTGTTATGTACATTGCGAAGAGGTAGAAACACATGTGTTTAATATTGTATGTATCTATTTATATAAATCGATAAGAAAAAAAAAAACACGAAAAAAATGAAATATACATGTATTTCCTATGTCCACATAGAAAATCCGACACAATATTGTTAGTTAATCTCGGAAAGAAGTAAAAAGAGTGTTAAATTTCTCTGAGATATATTATGTTGATAATATTAAACATATTCGTAAGGATGTCGTTATTAAATTATTTTTCAATTCTCTTTTGTTATAAAATGAATATAAAAAGTCAAGAAATTACCTAAATATTTTTAATGAGTTATTAAATTATTTTTAATAATCAAATTTAATTTAATATGCTTTTATTTTAATAATAAACATTTTTATGAATTAAATTATGAACTAAAAATGCATATTTTGAAATATTATAAAATTGATGACAATTAAAGTGTGAAAATAAATATTATACTAATAATATTTATAAATAAATAAATATATAAATATTCATAAAGGAATGAAATTTGTTGTAAACATTTATATTGTAAAATATTTTGAATTAATGTTTTATTTGTTAATATTTTATTTATTTTCAAAGATTAAAAATTTATGATTAGACATCATCTTTATCTTTAGGAATAGCACAATGCTCAATTAAATTTAATGCTGGAACATATACTTTAAATGAATAATCATTTTTTGAAAACAATCCAGGATTAATTACATGACAATTAGAATAATTAGTTTCATATTCTGCAAATCTATCTGCAGCCACAATAAGATCTGGAGTAGGATATATTTGTAAAGAATGATTATATTTCCAATATATTGGTATTACTGACAAACTCAAAGGAGACAAATGAGATTGACAGATGATTGATTTAGCATACTGAAACATTTACAAAAATAAAATTATATAATTTTTTATAATAACATACATAAATAATTAATAATATAATAAAATTTACATGATCATAGATATTGCCTTGATTTGGAAAGTGAAGTGCATTTCTACACATTTTTGTTAATATATCTTCTCTTAACACCACAATTTCTTTTGTACAATACTGAATTCTACATGGATTAGTCGTAAAGATTGCACCAGGTATATTTTTTCTAAAATCTTCTGTAAGATGTTTTGGAAGTGGTGATCTTGGTAAAATTTTTGGTGATCCAATATCATCTGATGCAGGTACAAAAATAAATTTGGAAGTTTGTTTTATATCTGGATATTGTATTATTATATCAGCAAGATTTTTAAGCCCTTTTTTCAATTTATGTTTGCTTGATATATTTGTAGAAAAACTTAAAAAATGGCCACATAATACAAAAGCTATAGGAGGACATTCAGAATATCCTTCTATCATAGTTTTAAATTTACGTAAAACAGTTACATCATCTAACCATATTTCAGATACAAAAACAATCATTCCATCTTTATTACTTTCTTCAAAAATTTTTAATTTTTCTGAAAACTTCAAAGATAAATTGTGAGAACCACCAAATGTATTAGTATTACCAAAATCTACACGTGCATTGTTAGATGATTCTGCTGGTGGCAAACCTATATTTTCTACATGTAAAACACCTTCTTGGAAATTTCCATTAACTATTACAATAGAAGCCTCCATAATTAAACCATCTTGAAAATTGTGTAAAAATATTAAGGATTAATATCTATTATGTTCACATGATAATAAATATATATAATATATTAAAAATTATATTTATGATTATTATTTTATAAGTTTTAAAAGGATATTGCTTTTTTTAGATCAAGTTTTATAAAACCTTCTGTATCTTCTAAATAATATTGTCCCTCTGTTAATTCAGTTAAAAGACCCATTACATAAACATTTCCTTTTTTACTTTCACTCAATAGATATTCAATTGATGTTAATTCAATCCAATTTTCTTTTTTTTCACCAAGTTTTGGTGGTGTAAATAATTCATGTCTTAAAGTTCTATACCAAAGTAATTCAAATCTATCTTTAAAAATTGTAGATTTATATTGTGCTTCAGCATATAAATCTGGTGAAATATTTTCCAAAATAAATTTTTTTTTAGACAAATCATATGTGATTTTAGGTACATCAAATATATCTATAACATTTAAAACTGTTTCTGTATCCTTTAATGTATTTGGTCTTATATATTCTTGTATTGCTAGCTTTAGAGTTTCAATAGTTACATTTGGATCAGTTAAATTTTGAGCCAAAACATGTTCTATTATTTGTGTAAGCCAATTTTCCTGTTCACTTTCTTCTACATTTAAAAGTTCTTTAGCTAGTGCAAGACTAAGTTTTCTATAAATTTTTTTATGAAATTAAATGATAAAATGTTATATACTTATATATTATAAGTCTAATATATAAAAATCCAATATACCTTGAAAGTACAAGTCCATATAATGAGAAGGTACTTTGTATTGTTTTTATTACTTTTTCATCAGACATAATTATAAATAGATATTTATATTATATATACACGTATTATATATTAGACAAAAATAAATTTTTTTGACTTCAGATCATAAGATGTTATAATGTTATAAAAATAAAAATATAAAATAATTATATAATTGCATTTCTTGACATTAATATTCACTGTTAAAGAACATTATCAAAAAAAATCTCCCGCCTTCTTATTACTTATAGCTTACTTATATATAGCTAATTTATGTTTTCTTAAAATCATCCAAAAATTCTATTCGTGAAAATTAATTTTTTTATTTTAATTATATTATAAATATAACTATTTAATTATAGAATGATATAGAATTAATATGCAATAGAATATTATGCAATACCAAATTAAATTCATAGAAAATTCAGATATATATCATATAAAATATGATTAACCAATCAATTTAAAGTACATTTATTCGTATAAAATTAAATACTATATAAACAACGTAGCCAAGTAATGGATTGCATCGTAACCTGTAACTAGTGCAATAAATATTTGCAATCAATTATATATTGATATTAAATCTTGTAAGTGATAATAAAATATATCTTCATAAAATATAAAACATATGATTTACTTAACTTCTTTATATAACTTTTTTAAGAAAATAATATCACGTTTATCACATATAAAGGATTAGTGGATATTTTTTACGTAAATAAAGTACGTAAAGTTTTACGTAAAATTATTACAAAAATGAATATTCATCTATTAATGTGTTTTACTGGTATTGCTGCTATTCATATTGGTTGGAATATGGTACAGAAATATAGACCAGAAAAGGATCGACGTCAACACCCTTTTATAGAATTATACAATGATTTAACAAAATCAAGTGATAAATAATCAATAAATAAAATATTATGATTAAATATTTATTAATGTAATAATTTATAATAAATTACAAATGTAAAAATGAATTTATATTTTTGAAATTGAAATCAATATTTTTCGAAGTAATAATTACAAACAATAGAATTAATAGAATTAATAAAATTAATCACTTGCTATAAATATATATACTTTCTAATTACATTTTAAAATACATTAATTATTAAATTATAATTATTTTATACCATTATTATAATATATATATATATATTAAATATGATAATATAATATTCATTTTGTACAAAATTTTATTTTAAGATGTACATATAATATATAACATACATACAATAAATATATATATATGGAAATCATATTAATTAAATAAAATTTTTTCAGAAATTAGAAAGACAAATGTGCAAAATAAAAATAAAATATATTAACAATTATTAATTTATAATGAAAGTTTATAAAGTTTAAATAAATAGATAAATAAATATATATGTATATATATACATATAAGTATATTACAATCACAGAGGAGCTTAATTAAAACCTTTTAATAGTAGGCAGGTGATCAAAATTCTGCTGATAATTCATGGAGGAGCTTTTCGGCCGATTTTCATTTTGACTGTGTACCGAAACACCAGCCTTAGGAAGTTGTGGTAATACCATTTCATTGCTATTACTATTCTATAATAATAGATATATTAAAATGTTTTTAATAATTTTGTTAATTTATTATATTTTTTAGTATATCATAATACTTCATAATATCATAATACTTAAAATATTTTTATTATTATAAATATCTATATAACTTAATCATAATTAGTTAATTAATCATTGTAATTTTGCAATTATACATACTTGTGATCTATCCCGATTTTTTTTAAGTTTTTCAAATTCCTCCATTTCTGCTTCAGGCATTTTGAAGTGAAAATTCTCAAAATAAAGATGTTGTAAAAGTTGTTCACAGGACCATCTTTCATCAGGATCTTTATCCAAGCACTTTTTGAGAAAATCAAGCTGTTAAATTCAATAAATAAAATTTGTTATTTTAAACTTTTAATCATTTTATATAATTATTATAAATAAAAAATAATAAATAAAAAAATAAAAAATTATAAATAAAAAAATATTAAAAAAAAATTTTAAATTACTTGTAAAATTGTATTGCCTCTCTTTGGTAGAACAATTTCGAGAGGAATAAGAGTTTGAGGTGTTGGTAAAATGATACCAGCGAAAAATTCATTTTGCTGAAAAATAGCTAAATGTCTTGGTAATAAGTCACCGATAGTTCTTCGAATTAAATATAATTGATCCACATCTGATTTTCCTGGCCACAGTGCTTCTCCACGTATTAATTCTGCGAAAACACAACCAATTGCCCATACATCGACTGGTGTACCGTATTGAGTATCTCCGACCTATTAAAAAATATTTTTTTAATATATAATATATATTTACTATTGTCTTATTATTCTAATTAAAAATGATTTATTATTAAAATGTAAAAATATATGAAATCTAAACAAAAATATGTTCTATATAAAGTATATTATTTAGAAAAATTATAATTTTATTAGTGAGCTTTATTAAATTTATATTTATATTATTTTCATTTTATTTTAATTAATTCATATTACTATTTCTACATATAAAATATAATTAAATAAATTTAACAATTAAAATTAATGAATTATTAACAAAATTAAATGTAGAAATATTATATAAAAAAAATTACCAATAGTTCAGGTGCTCTATACCATCTAGTTGCGACATATTCTGTGTAATTTTCACCAGGACTGAGCATTCGAGCGAAACCGAAATCGCATAATTTTACCACGCCATCGCCTGTGATTAAAATGTTTTCCGGCTTTACATCTCTATGAACGCAACCCAATCGATGGCAATATGCGATGCCCTGCAGTATTTGCCATGTGAGCTGTTTTGTAGTGATTTCCGGACACCCACTCGGATATCTCTCCATCTCATTTAACAACGTATACTCGCAATATTCAAAGACTAGGTGTAATTTCCGTTTCCGCCTGAAGACCTCCAGAAGATTGACCAGATTTGGATGTTTAAGATTCTATAAACCATTTATCTTACAATCAAAGAATTTAGGTTATAAAGTGTGTAAAACACTTGGAAATTGGAATTATCAAATTATTGAATAATTAGTACGTTTAATTAAAAATTATTATTAAACGTATTAAATGATTATAAAATATGACATATATAAATAAATCATAAAATTATTATTTTTATTAGAAATGTAATCAATTTCGTGTACTCGATTATGTAATATATTTTTTAAAATACTTTAATATAATAATACTCAAAATACAAAAAAATTATAAAGATTGAAATATTTAATAATATGAAAGGATAAAATATATATATATATATATATATATATATATATATATATA